CTGACTACTGATTATCACTTTTATCTCATTATCAATAGTAAAATTATTTACAGTTTATTTTTAAAGCAAAAGAAAATGTAAAAATCGTTGTCCTTAAGATAGTTCCATTGTGAAAATAAAACTGGAATTAATTCCTGATTATTAAGAATCAATTTCTTTCATATCTTTATACGTTTTATAATAAATTAATTTACTAAACATTTAAATTGTTCAATTATTTGCAAAACATCCCTATAGTAAAATCATTATCCACACAATAGGGCGTGATAAAAAGTTCATAGGCTGAATATGAAAGAATGATGCTAGAGCTGTGAAACCTTGCGTACATTAATTTCTTATAAATACCATATTTGACGGCATATAAGACACACTTTTTATAACTAAAAATATCTTTTAAAATTCCTCTGCGTCTAATATGCCATATGTAGGTTTGAAATTCGCGATAGTCGGCTGAAATTAGCTACTTGGTAACTCCTATTAGCTTAGACTTAAACATGAAAGAGCAATAAAGAACATGGATGGCAATGCCTGATCAAAACTTTAGACTTACAGTAAGAATAAAATAACTCAGCATTGCACAAGTCTGCACAAGAATGGATGAAGCAAACTTGGGATAATATTAAACCAAAAATTGTTTGAATTCTTTTAAAAGCTGTGGCATTAACAATGCTCTCAATGGAACGTAAGATGGTGTATTATTTAACGACGATGATAATAGTATTAAAAATGAGTATCAGAGTTTTGATAACGAAGACGACGAATTTTATGGATTTGGAGATGAATAAAATTTTAATGGTAACTCTACTGTTTTGCTCAATTGCAATAATTGTTTGATTTACATTTTTTTCTTATCTTTGAATATAATAAAGTTTTTATAGGCTCGTTTTCTTTTTTCCCCATTATTTTTCGTTTGTCATCATGGTTTATTTAACCAAAAATAAATATAACCTATTCTGTAGCATTTACTGATAATTTTACTAATTACTATTTTTCTTGATTTTCCCTGGTGAAATTAGTGTGCGTCTTATAAACCCGTGCGTCTAATACACCCGTGTTTCTTATACACTCGTGCGTCTTATATGACGTCAAATACGGTAATTGTGATGTTTCTTTCCAGGCAAACAGACATCTGACTTTTCAAAGACTGTTCAGCCTTTTTGTCAAAATAGTCATCAGCCACAGATATGACGTCCCAGTCAAGTGTATTTCATGTTGAGGAATAGATTATAGTCAGATGGGACCAAATTAGGGGAATAGGGAGTGTGGTCAATCAGTTCAAAATCACAGCCACGCAAAGCCACCATTAAAACCAAGAACTTGTTCTGGTGCATTGTCTTGATTAAACAAAAGCCCATTTCGTAACTGTTCCTGGGCGTTTGAACTTGATAACATTTCGTAACTGTCTCAGCAAAAATCTTTTGAAGATAGTCAATAAACACAATATCTGTCTATATCTCTCAGATGAGGTATCATGATTATTTACAGTATACGTACTGTTATCCTCATCTTCATTGTTATATTCACAACGTTTCGGCTGTTGTACATTCCGGCTCCTCAAGGACACATGGCCCAGTGGATAAAAACGTAGGTTGGATCTAGTGACTGGACCCAAAGACTTCTGAGTTCAATACCAGGCTACAGCAGTAGTGAACCAAAAAACTTGGAGAGTTGAGTTAAAGGGAAATAACTGAGACATCTGGAAGCGGCATGTGGAACTAGAACAGTCAACCCCAGTGAACGAAATAAAGGGTTCAGTTCGAAATTCCAATCACCTGATCAAAGCCGGAGCGTATAAAGGCCGAAACGTTGTGAATATAGCAATGAAGATGAGGATAACAATTCGAATAATGTAAATAATGTAAATAAATACAATGCGTTTTGCATCTAAAAAAAACAACAACAAAAAAAACTGAAGCCATTTGTTGAAACTTGACTAATGCATGGAATAATAATGCAACACAAAATGTACTTAGAACAAAATGTATTGAAACAAGAAAGTGTACACAATATTTATATATAGTCTTTTGTATATTCCTGGTAAGACCGTTCCTGGAGAATGTGTTGACTGAGTCGCAGTCGGGCAGAGTCTCTGGTTGAATCTCTTGATTCCTCCCCCTTTCTTCCGGGTACCAACCATATTTATATGGCCGGTACTCCACTATGCAAATTAGGTGGATCCTACCACAACACCATCATATTGAAACGGCCTTTGGTGCAGGAGAGGAAGCGTTTGTCTACAGCACGGATTGTCTCATTTTCTGTATCATCTTTCCGATAACGTTAGCGTCAGAAAGCGCAACGAGTTACTCACTTGGAGGATAGCATCAGCCATACTGATGAAAGTCAAACAGGCGTCTCCCCGATGATTACTAGAAAGCAGTTTTGTTTTGGAGGAGTTCAAGTTAGGAATAATTAGTTTTAATCTCAGACGTTTTACATTAAATTGCTACGAATAACATTTTTCAGAAACGTTTTTTATTGTTGTAAACGTATATTGCTCCATCTTAGTCGGATGAGAGTCGCTCGCGAATCCTCCGTATCACTCGCTGAAAGAAAGAAAGAAAAAAAGAAAGAAAAGAAACTAAAAGGAAAGAAACGCACAAAATCCAAATATATGAAAGAAAGAAAAAAGAACGAAAAAAAAGGAAAGAAAAAAGGAAGAAAGAAATACTCTAAAACGAACAGAAGAGAACAGAAAGAAAGAAAGAAAGAAAGAAAGAAAGAAAGAAAGAACGAAAGAAAGAGAGAGAGAGAGATACTAAAAAAGAAAGAAACACACTAAATGGGAATATATGAAAGCAACAGAAAAAGAAAGATCAAAATAAGGAAAGAGAAAGGAAGAAAGAAATTCTTTAAAATACTAAAATACGTAAAAGAAGAGAAAGAAAGAAGGAAAGAGAGAAAGAAAAAGAAAGATACCAAAAACAAAAGACACACACGAAATAAGAATATTTAAAGGAAAGAAAGAAAAGAAAGAAAGAATGGAATGTGCCGAAATGAACGAAAATGAACAGAAAGTAATAAGGAGAAATATATAGAGGGAAAGATACTAAGAAAGAAAGACACAGAATGTCAATATATGAAAGAAACAAAGAAAAATAAAGTAACAAAGGAAAAGGAAGAAATCAAGGCACTGAAATGAACGAAAATGAAAAGAAAGAAAGAAAGAAAGAAAGAAAGAAAGAAAGAAAGAAAAAGAAGACAATAAAATGAACGAAAATGAAACGAAGAAAGAATAGGGGGGCATAAAAGAAAGAAAGCTAAAGAAAGAAAGAAAGAAAGAAAGAAAGAAAGAAAGAAAGAAAACAATAAAAATGAACGAAAATGAAACGAAGAAAGAATAGGGGGCATAAAAGAAAGAAAGCTAAAGAAAGAAAGAAAGAAAGAAAGAAAGAAAGAATGAAAGAAAGAAGGAAAGAAAGAAGGAAAGAAAGAAAGAAAACAATAAAAATGAACAAAAATTAAACGAAGAAAGAATAGGGAGCATAAATCAGAAAAAGAAGAAAGAAAGAAAGAAAAAAAAGAAAGAAGACAATAAAATGAACGAAAATGAAAGAAAGAAAGAAATAAAAAAGAAAGAAACACGACCGACAACATAGATAAGCGAATGATTCCTTATTTATTCTATTCCTATTTTTTACGTTAATGTCGACCGCGTCTTTCAGTCGTGAAGTCTAACTCGTTATTTATTTCTTTGTACGATAAAATTAAGAACAGTATGAGAAAAATGTAGAAAAGTCCTTATAAGTCAGAATAAAGAACTAAAAGCAATTCTTTTTAATAACCAAACTTTTTTACCAAATCTTACGTTAAAGAACTTTCGACAATGCTCAGCCATAGAAACAAAAACTGAACTCTTGATATTAAAGAGCAGGGAAGCCAAACAATGTCAGTGTTCGTCGAAAGGATGGCTTTGATTCTTGGCCCGCAAAGTTATCAAAACGAAAGATTTTGGCGCGATGTCCATTTGCCAAAGTGTCGTGCCAGTTCGGTCTGATTACTAACGAACTATGATTAATGAGAAGATTATCGGAAAGGGTGAGAGCAACCAATCAGAAAGCAGAAAAAGGGAAAGGGTGTGCGTGATGGATTAGGAGGCACGGAATTACTGACAGAAGAAGATAGGGTCACAGTTGATTGAATAACGGGAGAGGAAGGGTCCTGCCCGGGAAATTAGGGCTGGGAAGAAATAGAAAAAAAAAATAACATTGCGGGAATTTTTAAAGATTTGGCTGAGGAAAAGGAAGTGGAGGAAAATAAAGAAAAGAAAGAAAGAAAGAAAGAAAGAAAGAAAGAAAGAAAGAAAGAAAGAAAGAATAGGAAGAAAAAGAAGAGGGGCTAAAAGAAAACGTGATACACGGAGAAAAAACAACGACCATGAAAGAAATAACCAAGTAGAAAAAAGAAAGAACCAAAGAGACAAGTTGAATAAATTAGAAAAATGCTGAGGATTTAATAGAAAGAAAGAAAGAAAGAAAGAAAGAAAGAAAGAACGAACGAACGAACGAACATAGGAGACAAGTTGAATGAAGTTGAAAAATGAAAAGAATTTAATGGAAAGAAAGATAGAAAGAATCACTGGGAATAGAAAGAAAGAAAGAAAGAAAGAAAGAAAGAAAGAAAGAAAGAAAGAACATAGGAGACAAGTTGAAAAAATGGATAGGATTTAATGGAAAGAAAGAAAGAAAGAAAGAAAGAAAGAAAGAACGAACGAACATAGGAGACAAGTTGAATGAAGTTGAAAAATGAAAAGAATTTAATGGAAAGAAAGATAGAAAGAATCACTGGGAATAGAAAGAAAAGAAAGAAAGAAAGAAAGAAAAAGAAAAGAAAAGAAAAGAAAGAAAAAAGAACATAGGAGACAAGTTGAAAAAATGGATGGATTTAATGGGAAAGAAAAGAAAGAAAGAAAAAGAAAGAAAAGAACGAACGAACATAGGAGACAAGTTGAATGAAGTTGAAAAATGAAAAGAATTTAATGGAAAGAAAGATAGAAAGAATCACTGGGAATAGAAAGAAAGAAAGAAAGAAAGAAAGAAAGAAAGAAAGAAAGAAAGAAAGAACATAGGAGACAAGTTGAAAAAATGGATAGGATTTAATGGAAAGAAAGAAAGAAAGAAAGAAAGAAAGAAAGAAAGAAAGAAAGAAAGAACGAGTGAACGAACATAGGAGACAAGTTGAATAAAGTTGAAAAATGAAGAGAATTTAATTGAAAGAAAGATAGAAAGAATCATTGGAAATAGAAAGAAAGAAAGAAAGAAAGAAAGAAAGATAGAAAGAAACAAAGAAAGAACATAGGAGACAAGTTGAAAAAATGGATAGGATTTAATGGAAAGAAAGAAAGAAAGAAAGAAAGAAAGTAAAATTAGATGACTCGAATAGAGAAAAGAAAATTGAAAGAATATCACTAGAATTCCAAGTAAGAAAGAAAAGAAAAAGAAACGGATTAGCAGAAAAGAGGAAAAAGAAAGAAATTATATTTGAAAAGAAGAAAAAAAGATACAATAAGATGAACGAAAGAGAAACAAAAAAGAGAGAGAATGATAACCAAAATGAATAATGAAAGCCTATTTGAAAGAAAGATGAAAAGAAAGAAAGAAAAGAAAAGAAAAGAATAAATGAATGAATGAAAGAAAGAAAGAAAGAAAGAAAGAAAGAAATAAAGAAAGGAAGAGTAGAACTGAAAAAATGTAAATGTAAAGACTAAACAGAAAATAAAAGAATGGAGAAAAGAAGTCATCGCTAAGAGAAAAAAAATGACGAATATAAGACCAAGTAAAAGTATTAAAATAGAATAAAAAGAAATAAAATAGAGAAAATTGGAAATAAATCTTTAGAAGAAGAAGAAGACAGAAAGAACGAACGAATTAGACAAGATGAGAGAGAGAACGAGTTTGATAATAATGAATGAATGTCTTAGATTGAGTCATAAGTAATTTCCTTTTTCGTTCACCAATTCTAATGACAAATGTATAATCCTGACTAACCGTTCCATAAACATCATAACAGTTGATAAATGGGGGGAAAAATCGAGGAGGCACGGTGGAGTAATGGATAGCGGCTCGGATTGAGGAATCGGAGAGCCGAGTTCGAATTCCAGTCGAATACTCTTGGGAAAGGTATGAATCATCTTCTTCTCCTCCAGAACAGACCGGGTTCAATAGCATTGGATGACAACTGGTCAACCAGAAAGGAATGGCACCTACTGCGATAAAAAATCTGCCCCCACAGTCATGTATCGAAAGATACATGATCGCTTAAGCGTGAATCACGCATAGCACTGACTGACTCTTGGGAAAATTATGAATCCTCTTCTCCTCCCACCCAGCTCTAAGTAAATAGCAGGACAGATCGGGTTCTATAGCCTTGGATGGCAAATGATCTACCGCAGAAAGCAACCTACTACAGAAGGCAACCTACTGTGGGAAAAAATCTGTCTCGTCAGTCATGTATCGAATGATATATGATCGCTTAAGTGTTAATCACGCATAGCACATGACTGCCTGACCCTTGAGAAAGCTATAAATCCTCTTCTGCTCCCCACACTCCAGCTATGGGTATATAGCAGGACATACAGAGTTCTATAGCCTTGGATGGCAACTGGTCTACTGTAGAAAGAAATGGCAACCTATTGCGCGAAAAAATCTGCCTCGCCAGTCATGTATCGAAAGATACATGATCGCCTAAGCATGTATGATGGCAGTGGATGGACAAGAATAAATCTCTACAACCAACCCCAAAATCTGTGAAAGAAACGTAATGTTTTGAGATCGTCAGAGTATTATCTATTTAGAGATCGTAAACCGCTATGAAACACTAAATGCACATTTATTTACACTATTCGGACTGTTATCCTCATCTTCCGTGCCATATTCACATGTACGCTTCTTCAGGTGATTGGAATTTCGAACCGAACCCTTTATCTCGTCCATGGTCCAGTGGATAAAGACGTTGGTTAAATCCAGTGATTAGACTCGAAGAGTTGTGAGTTCAGTGCCAAGCCACAGCAGTGGTGAACCAAAAAACTTGGAGAGTTGAGTTAAAGGGAAATAACCGAACCATCCGGAAGAGGCATGTCACGTGGAACTAGAACAATCTACTCCAGTGTACGAAATAAAGTGTTCGGTACGAAGTTGCAATAACCTGAAGAAGGCCAGAGCTTACAACGGCCAAAACGTTCTGAATATGGTAACGAAGATGAGGATAACAGTCCGAATAATGTAAATAATGTAAATAATCCTAATCCCTCATCTCAGAGATACAGAGAGATAAATGCACATATACGCTTCCAGAAGCTGCAACGTGTCCACAGGAGTTTGGTTGAAAAGTAACATGTGCACGTCCACAGAAAAAAATGTTGCCCTCTATGACAACGCAAGGAAAAAATGCTGGAACTCAATTAGTCTATTCTATCCCACACGACATATTAACCTGACCTTGCACCAAGCGATTAGGTTTACCTATTTTTCGAGTCACACCCCTCTGCAGTTTTTTTTTTTTAACAGGAGGGGGAGTGCATCCCTTGTTTCTTGTTTAGGATTAGGTTTCCAGTTCCTCCTAAAATCTACTTCAACTTTATACTTTTAACATCTCCGCCTAAAACTGAAATTTTATTTGCTATTTTTTTTTCATTTCAATAAGAGTAGATCCCCGGTCTTTTGAACAGGAGTAGAGGTTTATCCCTTGTTTTCTTTTGTAGAATTGGATTTCCGGTTCGACCTAAAGTCTTCCCATTCTCTTTCACTGAAAGTAGACCCTTTCGTCTTAGGGACATTATCGCCTTACTTGGGGCGAATTGATTTAAAAAAAAAACTTCTCTAATCAAAACCAGATTCAAGCCTTTATCGAAAAAATTTTCAAATAAAAGCCTGTGTTGTAACCTAGGGAAGGTTACTGAATAGAATAATCATAAGAAGGTTGGTAATGGATGATAATACTTAGGACATGAACAACACATATAAGATTCGCCAGTGACACGTAGAAGAAGTAGTCAATTGCTAGAAGTGAGTCAAGTGAATTCTACAACGAATCTCCAACTTAAAATATCTACGAACCGCCCCACGCGATCAGATGTGGCACAAGGCCGAATTAAATGTGGGGTATCCGAGTCCGTAAGCTCAGCCAAAAAAGCCCCGTATAAAACGGAGTCGGGTAGCTGTTTCTCGAGTCGAGACTCTGCACTTCGATATAGCCCGGAGGTAGAGAGTTTGACCAGCACATCTGGAGACGAATCTCCGACTGCAGACTAAAATACAGTATTTACTACTAATTTACTAATGTGAATGGGGGCATTATCGTCCATAGGTATGCTTCAATAACCTGTGACATTTTACTCTAAATATATCGAAGAGCTGTCTGATAAGTGCCAAAAAGCCATTGCAAATATTGATGAATACATAATTGAATAAAATATAATTGTATTTTGAGGAATAAAATGGATGAAAAAACGGAAATTATTTCTGACTCAACCTAATATTTATTCAAAAAATGAATATATAAAAGAATGAAAATAAAAATACTTGCTGTTTATACTAGCAAGGAACAAACTTCAAACTATATAATTTAACATACATCAAACTGAACAGAAGTTGAATATGTGACGTGAGCAAAATTTATTAAATTACATCTGAAAGCGTTCAATATTTAATATTTCAGTATCTAGATTTTTGAAATTCATTCCCTATTGATCATCAAGACTTCCGATGAGAGTAATGGTTACGTATGTAAATTTAAAAAAAATCCATTATATATGTCACACATTATGAAATAGGCAAAGTCCGACAATTATTATAAGACATTTTCATGTTTATACATTCTTTTTATAGATACAAATATTTAAGTAAATGCTCTGTTTATAATGAACAGTATTAACAACATTTAACAGCCTGAAAGTTCGAGAAATTTTCACAGAAAATATTCGTCATCCGGCAGGATTCGAACCTGTATTCGTCATATAACTTTACGGGCCTTTAACCGATTTGGCCACAGAGGAGCGTCCGGTTAGCAAGGTCGAATTTATTGTATAATTTGAAAGTTAATGAATGTAAATTAAAAAAAATAAAATCCATTATATATATATACACACACACACACACACACACATATATATATATATATATACACACACACACACACACACATATATATATATATATATATATATATGTATATAGAGAGAGAGAGAGAGAGAGAGATTTTATTAATTTTATTTTTTAACTCGACAGCACGTTTTTATATCCTGACTGAGAGCATATTTTCATGAGTAAATCTTCTCGATTGCGCAAGACGATAGGCAACATAAACACTGTTTAAAAACGGATCGTAAAAAAAATATATATATATATTTATATGTGTGTGTGTGCATGTTTCATTAAAAACGACAGGCAAGGTACTACTACGATTAGGCTTTTTATTTAATATTTCTTGTGTTCGAACAAGTGTTTTCTTTTTGGGACCCAGAATGTGTAGAAACTGCATGACTATCCAGACGCCTTACGTTACACCTCTCTGACCACAGCTCTATTAGAACCCATTTAAACACATACGCAAACTGAGCAGATTCCATCCGAAACATACCAAAATAAAAACATAATAACCTCATCCAAATGGGAAATAGATTATAAATAATGGAAGCCTTAAAAATAAAAAAAGTGTTCGGAAACTAAAACATTTCTCTAACACTAAAAGCATACACACAACGCACACACTCAATTAAATTTAATAAATAAAATCATGCTTGACAATGGCTAAAAGTATAGCCGAAAGAGTACGGAATTATAAAACATTTGGATAGTTTCTGCACACTGTGTCCAAAGAAGAAAATACTTGTTCGAACACAAGAAAAATTAACTAAAAATCTTAATCGTAGTACCTTGTCTGTCGTTTTTAATGAAACATGCATAAATGAAGGATTTTTGCCTAAATACGCAATATACATATATATATATATATATATATATATATATATATATATATATATATATATATATATATAAAACACTACATGATTGTTTGGCTTCTTGAAATATTGTAACGATAATTTTTCAATTTGAAAGTTAGTGAATGAAAATATGTATTTATAAAACAATAAAATAGATTTACTTTATTCAGTGTCCTCAGTTCCGATTCGAACATGTCGGATTATTATATTCAATTCCAATCATTCTTATTGGAATCTTATCGGAGTAATTGGGAATAAATTAAATAAAAAAAATTAAATATAAAAATAGAACAAGTGATTGAAAAGTTTGCAATGGACAAAAATAAAATGCAGCACTACTGTTTTAAAAGATAAGGAAGAAGCAATGAAATATCCCCCAATAACAGTTTTTTTTATTAGCTATCTACTTTCCTTTCACTTTCACTTTCATTTTCAGCAAACAAGGAAATATCAATTGAGTGTTGACATTGATAAGATGCTTCAATACGAACAATGCGTAACACCAAGTTAGTGACAATGGTGATGAAGTATCGAGGGAAAATCAGGTCAACGTTTCGACGTGAGAGACAACCAATGAAGAGGCCTCGTTGATAAAAGTGGTCTGGCCGGACAGTAGAGAGCAGACCGAGGGTCAAGACCAGAGACGATTACCAAGCCGACCTCCTGGACACTCGAGCCTGTCCTGTGGCCAATTCAACTAGAAGAAACCATCTTGCTGGCCATCAATCACTAGTCTTGAT